ATGAAAGAGCGTGCCAATCGGACGTCTTTATCTTGTAGCTCCTTTAGGAAAAATAAGGTAAATTGGGTTTATATTTAATTTTTTCACGATATTTCGGTCAGGTTATAAGCTGTTGACCTAAAACTTCCCAAATCGTATTTTCAATGCATACCATGATCAGAGTGAAAGAGAAAGCCAATCAGACGAATATTTTTTATAGCTCCCATTGGAACAATAAGGAAAAATGGGTTCAAATTTAATTGTTTCACCATATTTCCGGCAGTTTATTAGCTGTTGACCTGAATCTTTCCAATGCATACCATGATCAGGGTGAAAGAGCGTGCCAATCGGACGTCTATTTCTTATAGCTCCCATTGTAAAAATAGGGCAAAATGCGTTTAAATTTGATTGTTTCACCATATTTCCGGCAGTTGATAAGCTGTTGACCTGAATCTTTCCAATGCATACCATGATCAGGGTGAAAGAGCGTGCCAATCGGACGTCTATTTCTTATAGCTCCCATAGGAAAAATAGGGCAAAATGGGTTCAAATTTAATTGTTTCACCATATTTCCGGCAGTTTATTAGCTGTTGACCTGATTCTTTCCAAATCGTATTTTTTAATGCATACCATGATCAGGGTGAAAGAGAGTGCCAATCGGACGCCTATATCTTATATATAGCTCCCATAGAACAATAGGGCAAAATCGCTTCAAAATTAATTTTTCACTATATTTCGGGCAGTTGATAGGCTGTTGACCTGAATCTTTCCAATGCATACCATGATCAATGTTAAAGAGCGTGTCAATCGGACGTCTATATCTTATAGCTCCCATAGGAGCTATCACCATATTTCGGGCAGTTGATAAGCTGTTGACCTGAATCTTTCCAAATCGTATGTTTTAGTGCATACCATGAACAGGGTGTAAGAGAGTGCCAGTCGGACGCCCATATCTTATAGCTCCCATAGGAACAATAGGGCAAAATCGCTTCAAAATTAATTTTTCACTATAAGCCGTTGACCTGAATCTTTCCAATGCATACCATGATCAATGTTAAAGAGCGTGCCAATCGGACGTCTATTTCTTACAAATCCCATAGGAAATATAGGGCAAAATGGGTTCAAATTTATTTTGTTCACCATATTTCGGGCAGCTTATAATATGTTGACCTAAAACTTCCCACATCGTATTTTTAATGCGTATGATCAGGGTTAAAGAGCAAGCTAATCGGACGTATATTTCTTATAGCTCCCATTGGAACAATAAGGTAAAATGGGTTCAAAATTAATTTTTTCACCAAATTTCGCGCAGCTTATAAGCTGTTGACCTGAATCTTTCCAAATCATATTTTTTAATGCATACTATGATCAATGTTAAAGAGTGTGCCAATCGGACGTCTTTCTTATAGCTCCCATTGGAAAAATAGTGCAAAATGCGTTTAAATTTGATTGTTTCACCATATATCCGGCAGTTAATAAGCTGTTGACCTGAATCTTTCCAAATCGGATTTTTCAAAACATACGATGATCAGGTTGAAAGAGCGTGCCAATCGGACGTCTATATCTAATAGCTCCTTTAGGACAAATAAGGTCAGTTTTGTTCAAATTTAATTTTTTCACCATATTTCGGGCAGTTTACAAGCTGTTGACCTGAATCTTTCCAATTCGTATTTTTAATGCATACCATGATCAGGGTGAAAGAGAAAGCCAATCAGACGTGTATTTTTTATAGCTGCCATTGGAACAATAAGGTAAAATGGGTTCAAAATTAATTTTTTCACCAAATTTCGCGCAGCTTATAAGCTGTTGACCTGAATCTTTCCAAATCATATTTTTTAATGCATACTATGATCAATGTTAAAGAGCGTGCCAATCGGACGTCTTTCTTATAGCTCCCATTGGAAAAATAGGGCAAAATGCGTTCAAATTTGATTGTTTCACCATATATCCGGCAGTTTATAAGCTGTTGACCTGAATCTTTCCAAATCGGACTTTTCAAAACATACGATGATCAGGATGAAAGAGCGTGCCAATCGGACGTCTATATCTAATAGCTCCTTTAGGACAAATAAGGTTAGTTTTGTTCAAATTTAATTTTTTCACCATATTTCGGGCAGTTTATAAGCTGTTGACCTGCATCTTTCCAAATCGTATTTTTCAAAACATACGATGATCAGGATGAAAGAGCGTGCCAATCGGACGTCTTTATCTAATAGCTCCTTTAGGAAAAACAGGGCAAAATGGGTTCAAATTTAATTTTTTCACCATTTTTCGGGCAGTTTATAAGCTGTTGACCTGAATCTTTCCAAATCGTATTTTTAATGCATACCATGATCAGGATGAAAGAGAGTGCCAATCGGATGCCTATATCTTATAGCTCCCATAGGAACAAAAGGGCAAAATCGCTTCAAAATTAATTTTTCACTATATTTCGGGCAGTTGATAAGCTGTTGACCTGAATCTTTCCAATGCATACCATGATCAATGTTAAAGAGCGTGCCATTCGGACGTCTATTTCTTATAGCTCCCATAGGAAAAATAGGGCAAAATGGGTTCAAATTTAATTGGTTCACCATATTTCCGGCAGTTTATTAGCTGTTGACCTGAATCTTTCCAAATCGTATTTTTCAAAACATACGATGATCAGGATGAAAGAGAGTGCCAATCGGACGTCTATATCTAATAGCTCCTTTAGGACAAATAAGGTTAGTTTTGTTCAAACTTAATTTTTTCACGATATTTCGGGCAGTTTATAAGCTGTTGACCTGAATCTTTCCAAATCGTATTTTTTAATGCATACCATGATCAGGGTGAAAGAGAGTGCCAATGGGAAGCCTATATCTTATAGCTCCCATAGGAACAATAGGGAAAAATCGCTTCAAAAATAATTTTTCACTATATTTCGGGCTGTTGATAAGCTGTTGACCTGAATCTTTTCAATGCATACCATGATCAATGTTAAAGAGCGTGCCAATCGGACGTCTATTTCTTATAGCTCCCATAGGAAAAACAGGGCAAAATGGGTTCAAATTTAATTGTTTCACCATATTTCCGGCAGTTTATAAGCTGTTGACCTGAATCTTTCCAAATCGTATTTTTCAAAACATACGATGATCAGGATGAAAGAGCGTGCCAATCAGACGTCTATATCTAAAAGCTTCTTTAGGAAAAATTAGGTTAGTTATGTTCAAATTTAATTTTTTCACGATATTTCGGGCAGTTTAAAAGCTGTTAAACTGAATCTTTCCAAATCCTATTTTTTAATGCATACCATGATCAGGGTGAAAGAGCGTGCCAATCGGACGTCTATATCTTATAGCTCCCATAGGAAAAATAGGGCAAAATGGGTTCAAATTTAATTTTTTCACCATATTTTGGGCACTTGATAAGCTGTTGACCTGAATCTTTCCAAATCGTATTTTTCAACACATACGATGTTCAGGATGAAAGAGCGTGCCAATCGGACGTCTTTATCTAATAGCTCCTCTATTTCTTATTGAAAAAATAGGGCAAAAACCGTTCAAATTTAATTGGTTCACCATATTTCCGGCAGTTTATTAGCTGTTGACCTGAATCTTTCCAAATCGTATTTTTCAAAACATACGATGATCAGGATGAAAGAGAGTGCCAATCGGACGTCTATATCTAATAGCTCCTTTAGGACAAATAAGGTTAGTTTTGTTCAAACTTAATTTTTTCACGATATTTCGGGCAGTTTATAAGCTCTTGATCTGAATCTTTCCAAATCGTATTTTTAATGCATACCATGATCAGGATGAAAGAGAGTGCCAATCGGATGCCTATATCTTATAGCTCCCATAGGAACAGTAGGGCAAAATCGCTTCAAAATTAATTTTTCACTATATTTCGGGCAGTTGATAAGCTGTTGACCTGAATCTTTCCAAATCGTATGTTTTAATGCATACCATGATCAGGGTGAAAGAGAGTGTCAATCGGACGCCTATATCTTTTAGCTCCCATAGGAACAATAGGGCAAAATCGCTTCAAAATTAATTTTTCACTATATTTCGGGCAGTTGATAAGCTGTTGACCTGAATCCTTCCAATGCATACATTGATCAATGTTAAAGAGCGTGCCAATCGGGCGATGTTGGGCGATGGACGAGCGATGTGGTTGATGAATTCGTGAAGCCAAGTGTTGGGCGATGGATTAGCGATGTGGTTGATGAATTCGTGAAGCCATGTGTTGGGCCATGGACGAAGCCAATGTGTTTGGCAGTAGACGAAGTTGGCTAGTATAAGACAAGATAGGTTTCATGGATTATGACTTAATAACTTGGAATGATTAATTTATAATTTGATAATGTTTAAATGATCTGTTGAGTGGAAATGTAAAGGAAAGAAATGGTCTATAAGAGAACATTATGATTTGTAATATTCTATGAATTTGAGATTACTTGGTTAAGTTTTTCTGAAGTATTCAATAAAATTATAATGTTGGAATGAAACTGAGAGGTTTATTATAGACACGAGGACGTGTCTATGTCAGAATGGCCGTGTCGGAGAGCATGTAGTGCAGCATTTCGACAGGCATGACCATGGGTTGTGCTGGTATACTAGATATACTAGATATTAGTTTTGGTAGAATGGGGACTCAGTTTGCGAGCTGAGGCCGAGTGTGGCTTCGTATGCGTGGCGTTAGATAGACACGTGTTTGGTCCTTAAGAGAGAATTATGAGCAACAAAAGCATCGAAGATTCGCTGCATTTGCCAGAATCGATATTTTACTAAACTATTGCCTTATTGCTTATCTCTACGGTTTTCTGACATCAAATCAACTTATGCCCTCTTTCCTCTTGGAATTTTCAACAAATGTGGAACTCCTTTTTCCACAGAGCACATCCACCTTCTATCTTCCGATTTCAGCTGATCGGAACAGCTGTGGCTCGTCAAAAACGTAAACAAAGTCAACAGGTGAAGCACCTTCAATTACAGCAACAGCTGTTAAGATCAGCTCTTATTTAAATTAACGTTATACCTTGAAATTTTAATTTTGTTTACTTATGGCTTTCATTATTTTTTATTTTTTATCATAAGTTTTTGGTAGATTTTTGGTGTTATTGGGCGTATTTAGCAAGTTTTTTTTTTTGCTGAACGCTTATGATAATTAAGTAGTTTTTTATTTTAACGTCACACAAGGATGGTCCTTGTTTTCGTGTATGCTTAGAAGTGTTCAAAGATCCCAAATATTCGGGTATTAAGGGCAGGGCAGGTAAAAGCATGTCAGTGTTCTTGTGTTGTTATAAGAGACGCCCGTGTCTGTCGCGGCCAATAATCCACAGGTCCGCTGGGTGCCGTCTGCGGAGACGTTGTCGACCCAATGGTGTAGCACGACGTCTAGAGAGACGGTTCCTGTGATCCGGCAAGTGATCTCTGTATCGATTTGAAAAGCTACAAATTGTCTCCGCAACCGTCGGCACTCCCGCGTCCTGAAAAAACACACGATTTTAGACATTTCATATTCATTTCAAACCCAGTATTCTACTGAGCGCCTTTGATATGTACGTTTGTACCTTTTTAAGAGATTAATCACAGGCTGTGCCTCGTGACGTCGTGATGTCGACGTTCAGTGCAATGTTCCAGCGAGAAGACAAACACTCGATGGGGTACTACCAACTGCAAGAAATGCAGTGTCATCTGCATGGGTGGCCAGGAGTGTACCGCGTGCGTATACAGGACCCTAGCACGAATTGGGCGTAGTCCAGAGCGATATCCTCGGATGTCGACAGCAAACTCCGTTTTATCCAAGGATGTCACGATTAGCTTCCATAATCCCTCAGGCAAAAGTGACATTAGTTTGAAAAGAGACCTTCGTGCCAAGCCCTGTCAAAGACGAACAAAGCGAACATCAAGAAAGACAGCTGAGCAGTATTTGCGTTCTTCCAAAGCACCCAGTACATGATTTACTACTCTGTGCACTTGCTTAACAGCACAATGGCAAACACGAAAGTCAAACTGGTGGCCTGGAAGTGCTTCATCAAACGCAGCTATAGCTAAGTGCCTAGCAAGCTTGATCCGTTCAAAAATCTTAGAAAAAGTGCATAGGAGACTAATCGGCCGATAGGAATCTGGGGAGCTCGGGTTTTCTTTTCTTTTTTTGGTACCATCATGACCAAGGTCTAGGGGGCATCAAGAGTTGGCAGAGCTGCGTAATGACTGAGCTAGGCAGGCCTTTCCATCAATCGCGTTAATGCCAGAAGCCTTAGTGGAAATTAGTCGCCTATTATGATCACGAACCTCACCCTTGTCTATTGGACGCACATTAACAGGAGGGCCAAATGAGAGAGTGGTTTGGATTTCTTGGCTTGTTGCAAAGTCAAATGGAGTTAAACTATTTTCCAAATCATCTGCAAAACTTCAGCAATCTCGGAATCGCTGTGGGCCCAAGTGCCAAACGAAGGACTTTTTTAAGTTCAGACACAGCAACATCATGCAGCGTCGTCGTCATCATCGATAACATTTGATCAAAGCGTACCAACAGTTTGTCAATTGCAGCCGGTTGAGCCATCGCAGCATTCTCTTGCTGCTTCCTTAACTTATCAATAAATTTCAGAAGACTGTCCTGGGCAGGTTGTTGAATAGATTCAACGTTTGGCTGGCTTAGCGGGGACAGTACATTTTGGCGCGAATGAGGATACTTGAGGATACAGAAGGTCGCGAGGTAAACCAAGCATTACGTGCCGGGGGCAAAGCAAGTTTAAGGACAAGCTTTTAAATCAGGCTGCGATTCACAGAGGTATTGGGCCTACGTTTCTCAATCGCCTCTAAATAGACTAAATAACTCCAATTGCTTACTCACATGGGGGTCAATATTGCTTTTACAACAGGTAAACAGAGACGGCTTGAAATTGAAAAACATTTTAGCCGGACAAGAACAAAAATAAAACAAAAATAAAGGTTAAGCATAGCAGCCGGCCTGCCAAAGGAAAGGACAAGACCTGCAAAATTTATGTTGCAAAGTTCAGAAAACCGAGAAAACACAAAAAGAAACCAAATTTGTTTACAATTTTTTAATAAATACGGGAGCTCAGAAATAAACTCAACAAGTTAGCTTGACACAAAAGTCGAACTATAATTAATTAATAATTAATTTTTGTCTTTTTTGTTCGTTTTTTATTTTTGTTTTATTTACATTCTAATTTTTCTGTTTATTCTTATCGATTCTTACACCATAGATATAAGCTAGCCGAAATGTTTTTATTCTCCGTTTTTGCTGATCTGATGAAAGAATTTTTGCAACATGATCAGGGATCATACACGGTTAGCAAAACTATCGTAAAAAATCCATCAGTGATCAGTGATCATGTTGTTCTGCTAAATAAGACCATTATCTATTTGTTGTGGTTTTTTCAGATATGGTGAACGGTGAGGGAACGGAGAAGGGGATTGGAGATGGGATGGACGATGGACGATGGGAAAGAAGGCGCAGAAGCTTGCAACTTTAGTTAATCATTATCTGTACTGTAAATGTATATATATTATTTAACTATGTAAAATTATACATGTTTTCAGCAATATTTTGGACCGCGTTCAACAAAAGTGACATCAAAATGGATCGGGACTATTTTGTCGTCAACATTGTATTACTGCTGTACATGTTGCTAATTTTTTTGAGTTTTCCGTTCATTATTTGATCCGACAAATACTATGCTCTTCCAACTCCAACCTCAAAATATTAAATTTCATATTCTTTACGCCGGGGCCTGGCGTTCGTTCACACAGAAAAATCTGACAGCGCATTGCAATTTTCTGGTATTTATCTTGTCGATCTGAGTACCGGGGTCAAGCTGGCGTACGGATTTCGACGATCTGAATACTAGGCTTTAGATTTAAAGGCCGTAATGCCAAAAATTTCCTAGTTAGGATTTTTATGGGGGACCACGTTGATACTTACCCGTGCAGCTCTTAAATATTGGCGCGGATTGTTTGATTGCATGTACATACATATGTACATGTCGGGAGTTTTTATTACACCAGACGTATTCGGAAAGCGTATAGGGAGTTTGGAAGGTAAGTGCTCTCCTCTGGCATTAGTTTGTACAAAGAATAGACTATTAAGAATAGAATAATAGTTCAATAGTCTTTAACCATTATTCCATAGAACTTAATAGCCTTGGTACACTTACGCAGGTTCCTTATCACTTTTGAAGTTATCGTAATTAGGAAGAGCTTCCGAGTATATGTATGTACTTAGCAAACTCAAGTACATGGGTTTATCTGAAAGAAAGGGTCAGTTATTTTTTATTTGTGAACGAAAAATACAAATTTATATAAAGAATATCTTAAGCGAAAATGTATCCTATACCCAAACTTGAAGAGTTTGCTTTCGGGGTAATGATACAATGTACCGAATTAGTATAATAAAACTTTTCGTAAGAGCATGCTTTCAAATGAAAAAATTAAAACGAATAGCCTCCCGCTTTTGTTTGCCAATATATCTTCTTTATAGCCCAGTCCCACAGAGCCCATCCAAGCAAACCGGTTGGGATTTTTGATGGATGATGGACTGGTGCCTTATGCCCTCTTTCCACACAGTCTATCGGTTGGAATTTTCACCATATGTGAATCTCCGGTTTCCACAGACCAAATCCACCTTCCGATTTCAGCTGATCTAAGCAGCTGTGGCTCGTCAAAACGTTAACATAGTCAACAGGTCAACCATCTTTGTTTATGTTTTAACGAGCTACAGCTGTTAAGATCAGCTGAAATCGGAAGGTGGATGTGCACAATGGAAACCGGAGTTTCGCTTTTTTCAAAAATCCCAACGGGTTTTCAGGAATGGACTGCGTGGAAAGAGGGTTGCACCGCAGAAACATTGGCTAACTATCGCAAATTAGTCCGTCAGAGTCCGTCAAATTTTAACGGCGGACTAACTGCGAAGTTTTTGGAACGGTAAAACTTATGGACCATCCCTTCAACGGATGGTGGAAGGTGGATGGATCTCTGTGCAAAACCCTATTGACAGAACCACCATCATCATTCCACCATCCACCGTCCGTCAAAAGTCACAGTGGCATATACAATTTATTTTTTTTACTCAACTAAACTATTTTGTTGGATTAGTTGTTAAATGGATATCTGAACTTATAAATAATGGTTTATATCTACTCTGTATTCATGTTGCTGCCTGGGGGAGCGTCAACCTCCAAAGCCCCCCTTCTCTTTCGACTAATAGCCTGATTCCATTGCCGCATTAAAACGCATTTAGCCAAATGCGCATTTATTTACACAGGGAATCCCATAAGGCTAAATGCCGCATTTAAAATAAATGCGATTTTTAAATGCGATTAAAAACCATACGCCCCGAAAGTTTTTAGAAAAAATACTGGAAAATACCGATGTTTAACGATATTTTCTTCGTGCCACCACTACAACAGCTGTTTTCTATAAGCAAGGTTGGCGCAATTTTTGATGTCTTTTGAATTTAAAATCTTTTTTGTATAAAAATGACTGAAACCTAGAGCGCACGCTGCAAATTCTGCTCGCACTACCACAATGCATTACTGCTGGATCTCTGGCATTAAATAACTCTCACATATACGGGGATCCTTGCCCTTTTTAGAACCTGTGGTGGTCTCCATTGCAAGCCCGTCATAACAACGCAATCAGCTTCTCTTCTTTGTCATCCAAGTTGGCAAATGTCTCGGTCGCAATATGGATGTCCTGCTGAGCATTACAGAGTTTAGTAAAATCACTCATGTTCAATAATTTTAATTATTTTCTTTTGGATTTGCCAAAATTCAAAAGTATACAAGCCCAGATCAGCTGTTTGTGCCACTCACATGTCGGAGTAGCATTTACTAAATGCTAATGCGCCAATGGAATCAGGCACATTTAAAAAGTCCACTAATGCGGCAATGGAATCAGGCTATAAGCCTTGGGCTTACAGAAACAAAGATGGCCGGCTTGCCAATTTAAATTCTTTCTCGCCAAGACCGACGGACCATCTTGGAAATGGATGGTGGATGGTGTTCTGTGGGACTAGGCCATTACAGTTCGTTCTTGTAAGGTATGAGAGGAAAACACGATAGTGAGACGATATGCCAAATGACCAGTAGAAATCGAAAAAAAATCAAGGAGGCGGCACCGAACTCAACTTAAACGCCTTTTTCCACAGTACTTGGTCCCTTAAAAGTTATGTATAAAAAATTGATTTTGGCTTTATCGCAATGCCGGAATAACTGGTCCAGGTGTATCCAGGGCATAATTAAATAAAAGAAGGTAAAATTATTGCTTTAACAGCCTTACATGAAATCTTAATCCTAACAGAAAATCTTCTTAAAATAGTTCTTTTGCCACTTATGTCTGTTGACGGATGTTTCCGGCAATAATTTCAGCAGTAACATTTTATGGTCTTGTTAAAAAATCACTATTGTGCTTTGTGTGATTACCCCATAATCAATCTTAGCTTTCTTTGTCGTTTCCACATAAAAACTTACAATAGGCTGTCGAATCGTGCATAGTACGCCAAGCGATTAAAGAGTTTGTGAGAGAACAAAAAACAATCAAGTCGGTGGCAGACGAAAGAAAGGAAATAAAACAAGTTGCATCAATAAATCGAGCAAAGAAACTAAAACCCAAGTAAGTTCAATTGCACATCTCGTCGCAATGAGGTTGTACTCTAAGATTTATGCAAGATCAGAAGGTAAAATATGTTTTTTATTTGTTTTATTCTCACTTAGACGCAAGCTACCATCCATCCCCTTCCCATAGCATTTTTATTACTTTTAATTAAGCAATAAAATCCGTACTTCTTTTGCCGACTGTCAAAAGCGAGCCGGGGCCTTTACCCTGCCATCTGTCTTAACTCGGTCATTTTATAATTTATTTGCAGTTACGCGATTAATTATACTGTTGATGATCAGTCGCCGATTGCGTCTTTATTTGGTGTGGCGTTCACTGTTATGATCTTCATGGTGCAGCTATACAAGGTGGTCTCATCACTTCTGCCGAGGACGATACATTTTTCAGAAACAAGCGCTGGAAAGAGGTACAAATCGTTTTAAACGACTGCCAAAAATAACTTCCTTAAAAGAGAGCAGCTCATGCGTTGAGACCACCTTGTATAGTTGCCCTTACACATTATTTTGTGTTCCTAGGTTGGGGTTAAGGCAGAGCAAGACATCAACAGCATAAAACCGCAGTCTCATACACATTGACAAGTTTTGCCGTGCGGATTCACCAATGAATTGGCAGCATGTCATAATAAGTGTGCCGACCAATGGCCTAGGCATGGTTCCATCGCCTACCACTGAGCAGAGCTCTAGGTGGTGCTATGTATTTACATCCCAAACTCGCTAAGGGTTGATAAATTATAATTCAATGTAGATACGATCACGAAATTATTCTGTGCTTGTACAAAATGTAATGTTTTTACACGATGGAAAAATGGGATAGGTCTGGCATAGAGATAACGAAGTATTATTATCTACGAGTATATTTTCGGCAGTTACCGTAAACGACCTTCCCAAATATAGACATCACAGAATTTATTCTAGATTTTCAATGTTTTGCCGATTCATTTGATTTAAATAAATATACACTTGAAAAAAAGAGTAAATCATTCTCTTTTCTTTTCTCCTGATAATAACTAGTAACTTGTTCTGGGAACTTCGTTGTGCAGTGATGGTCTTGGTGAGCAACGAATGGCATACCAATAAGAATGATGACCAGAAACCAAGTCCAACGTCGCCGCCCCCAGCACCAGGAGCAGTCGGAGCCGCAGCATTAAGCAACGGGGTCTTAACAGACTCATCCGCGGCGTTGTCTGAGACAACCAGACCTACAATTGGGGGAGGAGAAGCAACGACTCTCAAGCAAAATATTTCTCAGCATACGGCAAACATGGAAACTGCAAAAAAATTGGAACAGGACCAACTTTTTCATGCAATGGAAAAGGACGGTACCGACGAGGAAGCTAATGAGAACCAGGAAAATAACAACTTGCAACTTTGTGACTCTCACACAAACACTTTACAGGGCGCTTACAACCCTGACCATCGTGCAACTGTTCAGGTTCCCTCTGCAGGCCCCCAACAGGTGCTACACATGGCTTCTGTGCTGAATGCAAACAATGGCGGAGTCGGGATGGAAGTAACTAATGCTGGAAATTTGTACAGCTCACTGGGCGCTCTGAACAAGAGCGTCTCACAAAGACAGTCGGAAATGGATTGCGGCACTTTGCTGGTCGCTCCTTTGGCACCAACGGCCTCCGCAGAACTAGACGTAAAATCCGAGTCCGCGTCTGCGCCGTACACCGGAGATGCAAAAATTATTTTACAGTGCGAGGCCAAGTCTCACAAGTTTGAGACAAGGACTATACTTTTGCAGCCAAACCAGGATTGCAAGGTGGGCCGCCTTATAGCCAAAAGCAAGGCAAACGAGGGAAACGCTGTGTTTGACTGCAAGGTTTTATCAAGAAACCATGCAATACTGTGGTTTACCCCGGATGGTCGTTTCTGGGTCAAGGACACAAAATCGAGCAACGGTACTTTTATTAATGACAACAAGCTGGGCAATGATCCTGCGGAATTACATTACGGTGATACCGTTAAGTTTGGTGTTGAGGTGATCGAGAACTCGCGCCAGGAGGTTCACGGCTGCATCATAGCTCGTGTCTCCCTCTTTTTACCCGATGGACGGGAGGCAATTTCTATAGAGGCGGACCAGATGTTACTGACTGGGCCTAACCGCATCAGCTTTGACGAAGTTCAACGCCTAAACTGTTTTCTCCAGGAGGCGTCTCAAAGGGAGAAGACACTGAAAGCTAAGTTAAGCAGCTTGCAAGGGATCCTTGAATCGACGCGAAAGAACTCTGCCATGTGTTGGCAAAGTATGATAACTGAAGACCAGTTGTTGCACAAGATAAACCTTCTGGAGAAAAAGCTGCAGATGCTGGAGAAAAACGTTCCGGAGAATGCGCTTCGTAACGAGGTAAAAAATAATATAATCTGCTTTGATCACATTACTGATTTTTTTTTTTAATTTTGGTAGGTTGTAAAGCTCCTGGAGGACAAAACTAGTTATCAGTTGACTGCTAAAGAAGCCCTTCGCAAGGTCTACCAGGAACGATGCGATGCTATGCAAACGCTCTCCAAGATGGAGTTGGCCCTCTCTTCATCAGAAAACGAGTGCTGCGTATTGCGCGCTCAAGTAGCCACATCGAAGCAGACATTGCAGGACTTTAATTTTCGGCTGGAGCAACTACAGCAGGAGTACATTGAGTACAAACAGGAATCTTTGCGTCAACAACAAGAGGCTAAGAAACAAGAGGAGCGCAGTTTGGAGCTGGTAAAAGAAAAAATGAGCTCCCAAAACCGCGAGCTAGAAAAACTTCGTCTTCAGGTCTCACGTCTTCAAAAATCCGTCGGTGAGTATGATAGCGAACAGAAGTTGGAGGAGCAAAGTGTACTGAAGCAATTGGACGCCATAATTTGCGACGATGACGAGTACGAAATTGATGAAGTTCAGGATGACAATAAGGAACAACAAAGTTTTGACGATGATAATTTGGGTGAATCACAAGATGTCATGAAAGGCATTCATGAGCAAAAAAGTCAACAAAATATGGTAATTTTTATTGCTACCCAGTGGAAACTGTTTGCTAAAATATTCCCATTACATTTTAGAACAAAGAGCTTAAAATGAGCGACTTAAATTTGAAGAAGGTCATCCGCAAATCAAGCGTTATTAAGTTGCTAAAGAACTCTGATCTTAGCAAGGGTGAAGACGGTTCTGCGGTGATGAGAGCCATTTTTAACGACGACGAGGAAGATTCTGAAAGTGAACTGAACGAGGCAAAGAAAAAGCTCGATGCTCAAGCTTCGGATGATGCAGCTGAACTTAGTATGGGCATTACGCGAGATCCAAAAGAGACCATTAGATATGAGCTTATACACAATGCTCCAAGGCATGTTCTGCCCAACGGAAATGCTGAACCGTCTGCAAAAACGGCTGCATGTTGCCTTTCAGTTTGCAACTTAGAAAACCAAAAGGTGGACACCTACGAAAATCTTTGTAGTCAACCCGACTTGCCCACAGAGCAAGCCATAGAAATGTTACAGGAGGAATGTGATACATACAAGGAAAAAACGGCGCGGTTGACTAGCGAAATTCACGTCATGCAAGAGCAGATTATTCTTTTAAAAAACCAGCTTGAACAGGAGACTGCCAATGGAAACCTTCAGAAGAACAGAGTCGAAAATAGTGCGCAGCGTCAGAATTCGGGACAGGACGATAGTCAAGCTAGCACTGAGCATGTTTGGAACGAGGATATTACAGCCATAAATAACTTACAAATGGAACGGGAGGAAGAACTGATAGCTTTCAAGGAACGACTTGAGGATTCGGAGAGTAGCAACATGCAGCTTCGCTACGAAATCTCGCACCTTAAACACCAGCTCACGACACCTGGAAACCAAGTGCTACTGCACCGTGTTCTACCAATTGGCTGCATCGCAATTGCTGTACTCATCTACCTAATTTCCAATCGAATCTAAGAAGTTCGTTTCGCCGATAGTTCATTAATACAGAAGAACAGTGGATGGCAGCATTTTTAGTTATTAATAATAACGCTATAATCAAGCTTTATTTAATTTTCCGTTTTCACGTTGAGCCCAAAATTAAAAGTAGTAATTTCAAATTAAAACAAACAAAAGAAAAATTATTGAACGACTTATTTTAGCTCAAAGAAGTTGGGTCGACTAAAATCGAATTTTCGAAATTTGAAAAGCGGAATCGTTTGCCCATTTTTTTCCACTTTTGCCCACCTCTAGTTTCGAAAATATGGGAAGTTCAAAAATTTTCGAAAACAAAAAATTATGGTTTTAGTTTTATTAAAATCGGACGAATGTTCTATTTCTCTTAAAATAAACTATCGGTGACCAAAATTAGTTCAGCAGAACTGGAGAAAAAATTTAATGGGCTTGAAAACGGGTAGAAAACGTTTTTTACTCTAAAAAAAGGCTACCATAGATTTTTGTGAGCGTCATATTCTGAATCAGGGAGTCCTGTGCTGGAAATTAATGGTTTGATCTGTGGACGACTTTCTCGATTTAAATTTGTAAGCCTGTGTAATTAGAAAAAAATAGTTTTCACTGTTTTATAAGCAAAGTTATTAGTTAGTATAATTTTTATAAAGAATATTTAAATTTTGCAATAGCTGCAAGGGTAACCATACAAATTTCAGCTTGCCGAACTGATTTTATTATTCTTCGATACATAGTAATGGTTTCATATTTTAGAATTATTGTTTAAATGTATTTAAATCCGAAAACGATGTTATATAGCTGCCATAGGAACGATCGCAAAATGTATAGCAAATCATCATAGCGTAACTGTAGTTATACATATAGGCATAACGATCGGAATATTGTTGTTGTAAAGCAGAGATCGATCCACGTGCCACCATCTGTTGAACGGAAGGTCCATAATAGCGTATTTCCACCATCCGTTGAAGGGATGGTCCATTAGTTTTTGCCGTTTAAAAAACTTCCCAGTTAGTCCGCCGTTAAAATTTGACGGATTTTGACAAACTAATTTATGCGACAGTTAGCCGATGCTCCTGGGGTGCAACCCTCTTTCCACGCAGTCCATCTCTGAAAAACCGTTGGGATTTTTGAAAAAAAGTGAAACTGCGGTTTCCACAGATCACATCCACCTTCAAACATTATGATTTCAGCTGAACTTAGCGCTGTAGCACATCAAAACTTAAACAAAGATGGTTGACCTGTTGACTTTGTTTATGTGCTCTGTGGAAATCGGAGCTTCACATTTATTGAAAATTCCAACCGTATCCAACGGATGGACTGTTGAAAAAGGGGCATTAGGGAGATGTGAGGGCCGGCACAATAGGTAAGCTTGCCGGCCAGAATTTGCTATACGCTAGTAATATCTTCCTCGCGGTCCAATTCGTTACAACAATTTATTTTAATTCGGACATTGATGCACTTTGATCAGTACAAACAAATGGTCTTTACGACACCAAGTAAAGCTTGTTACGCGCGGAGCCCCTTCCCCTCGGATCGAATGAACGAGATCGCAAGAGGTGGAAAAAAAGATATTAAAAGAACGGTCAGACTAATTCAAAATATAAGCCAAACTATTTACGTGTTAAATAAGATAAGATTAATGCTTTTAAAATTGGTAAAGAGTCAGTAGCAGAAATTATTATAATTTTACTTGTTTAGTTACTTAGGCCAGTAAAATGAATATTTCTTGAGAATCAAAACGCGTGTTTCTTTACTTTCTTCGACAGTTTTTAGGTGAAGTGATTATCGTATTGATTTGATACAATCGAATGATAAAATCAATATGATATTTAAAGCGTCCTTTGACTTGCCGGGTATTTTTGAATTTGAAACATTTATCTTCAACTCTTACAAAAAACTCTTATATAAAGCAAAGTAAATGGTGTTTTTCTCCTTCAGAAGAGTCCAATCTTGCTGCAAAGAATCCGGAAACGAGTACTAAGGATCGGCTTTGTCATTATATCTGCGAGTTGTTTCTCAGGCGGGATTTGTGGGATCCCAAATTCTTGTTCAGCAATTTTTATCCCTGATGATGAAATGCTAGTGCGCTATGTGCTTGGACCGTTGATGGAATTCGGTGTTTTGGGCCAGCCTCATGGCAGCAGTATTATTGACCTGAAGAATCGGGGTTCTGTCCAATCTGTCGATTTCCTTAAACAATCTTTTTAGCCAAATTATTTAGTTTGCAGCTCGATTGGCTGCTACGATCTAGCCTCTGTACTAAAAATTACCACCATAGCCTGCCATGGAATTTTCCATAAAATGGCTCCTGAGGCAAACGTGATGATGATCCCTGATGTAGATCGTGCAGTCACCCAAGCTAGCACCGCTGTAGCCTTCGAGGAGTCCATTCTTCTGTTTCCGATAGAATATCCCAACGTTGATTGTTCCGGGTATGTAACGAAAAACTCTCTTTACTTGTTAAATGTTGTTTTTTGCACACTCAGAAAATTATAGAACGAAAAAACCAAGAGAAAATCTGCTCCATTTCAGTAGTTTTGCTTCTCACTTCATCGAGAAGAAATTTTTTTAATTGTTCTTGATTTTATTTATTGAGAACACATTTTGCTTATCGAGAAGAAAAGATCTCAAAATCGAGAAGAAATTAGTCTAAAAGTTAGAAAAATTGAGAGAGATTAAAATTGTGAGAGAACTTCTCTCTCAAATTTTTCGGGAAGTTACCGGAGTATTTTTCGGGCCCTGTCAATTCACTTAAAATGCTCTTGCGCGGCACGAGGCTATGTTTTCTTTGATTTATTCAGTGTTAAAATGTTGTGGGATGCAGACAGCAGACGATGAACCTGCTGATGAAGCTAAATCTAATAGACGCGCAGCCCTACTTGAACAGTAAGTAAATAATATTTTATGAGATATAAACTATAATATATATCATTATTTACATATATGTAAAACAATACATTATATTATAATTTTAATTCAACTTACGCTAGCGTAATGTGAAACATATTAAATTGTTTTTGAATAAAAAAAATCGTGTATTAAATGGTTCAACTTTCTTTACAAAAATTTGGAAAAGAATATGCGAAGCGTGGCGCTGCTACAAAAAATATATATATTTAGATTCACTATATAACACGCGCTAATACGTACAAGGAAAAAACGGCGCGGTTGACTAGCGAAACTCACGTCATGCAAGAGCAGATTATTCTTTTAAAAAACCAGCTTGAACAGGAGACTTCCAATGGAAACCTTCAGAAGAACAGAGTCGAAAATAGTGCGCAGCGTCAGAATTCGGGACAGGACGATAGTCAAGCTAGCACTGAGCATGTTTGGAACGAGGATATTACAGCCATAAATAACTTACAAATGGAACGGGAGGAAGAACTGATAGCTTACAAGGAACGACTTGAGGATTCGGGGAGTAGCAACATGCAGCTTGGCTATTAAATCTCGCACCTTAAACACCAGCTCACGACACCTGGAAACCAAGTGCTACTGCACCGTGTTCTACCAATTGCTGTCCTCATCTAACTAATTTCCAATCGAATCTAAGAAGTTCGTTTCGCCGATAGTTCATTAATACAGAAGAACAGTGGATGGCAGCATTTTTAGTTATTAATAAATAACGCTATAATCAAGCTTTATTTAATTTTCCGTTTTCACGTTGAGCCCAAAATTAAAAGTAGTAATTTCAATTAAAACAAACAAAAGAAAAAATATTGAACGACTTATTTTAGCTCAAAGAAGTTGGGTCGACTAAAATCGAATTTTCGAAATTTGAAAAGCGGAATCGTTTGCCCATTTTTTTCCACTTTTGCCCACCAATTAGTTTTTTTGCCCACCTCTAGTTTCGAAAATATGGGAAGTTCAAAAATTTTCGAAAACAAAAAATTATGGTTTTAGTTTTATTAAAATCGGACGAATGTTCTATTTCTCTTAAAATAAACTATCGGTGACCAAAATTAGTTCAGCAGAACTGGAGAAAAAATTTAATGGGCTTGAAAACGGGTAGAAAACGTTTTTTACTCTAAAAAAAAGGCTACCATAGATTTTTGTGAGCGTCATATTCTGAATCAGGGAGTCCTGTGCTGGAAATTAATGGTTTGATCTGTGGACGACTTAAATTTGTAAGCCTGTGTAATTAGAAAAAATTAGTTTTCACTGTTTTATAAGCAAAGTTATTAGTTAGTACATTTTTTTAAAGAATATTTAAATTTTGCAATAGCTGCAAGGGTAACCATACAAATTTCAGCTTGCCGAACTGATTTTATTATTCTTCGATACATAGTAATGGTTTCATATTTTAGAATTATTGTTTAAATTTATTTAAATCCGAAAACGATGTTATATAGCTGCCATAGGAACGATCGCAAAATGTATAGCAAATCATCATAGCGTAACTGTAGTTATACATATAGGCATAACGATCGGAATATTGTTGTTGTAAAGCAGAGATCGATCCACGTGCCACCATCTGTTGAACGGAAGGTCCATAATAGCGTATTTCCACCATCCGTTGAAGGGATGGTCCATTAGTTTTTGCCGTTTAAAAAACTTCCCAGTTAGTCCGCCGTTAAAATTTGACGGATTTTGACAAAGTAATTTATGCGACAGTTAGCCGATGCTCCTGGGGTGCAACCCTCTTTCCACGCAGTCCATCCCTGAAAAACCGTTGGGATTTTTGAAAAAAAGTGAAACTGCGGTTTCCACAGATCACATCCACCTTCAAACATTATGATTTCAGCTGAACTTAGCAGCTGTAGCGCGTCAAAACTTAAACAAAGATGGTTGACCTTTTGACTTTGTTTATGTGCTCTGTGGAAATCGGAGCTTCATATTTATTGAAAATTCCAACCGTTTCCAACGGATGGACTGTTGAAAAAGGGGCATTAGGGAGATGTGAGGGCCGGCACAATAGGTAAGCTTGCTGGCCAGAATTTGCTAAACGCTAATAATATCTTCCTCGCGGTCCAATTCGTTACTGATAAGAGCGAGGCAAGGCAACAACAATTTATTTTAACTCGGACGTTGATGCACTTTAATCAGTACAAACAAATGGTCTTTACGACACCAAGTAAAGTTTGTTACCCTTCCCCTCGGACCGAATGAACGAGATCGCAAGAGGTGGAAAAAAAGATATTAAAAGAACGGTCAGACTAATTCAAAATATAAGCCAAACTATTTACGTGCTAAATAAGATAAGATTAATGCTTTTAAAATTGGTAAAGAGTCAGTAGCAGAAATTATTATAATTTTACTTGTTTAGTTACTTAGGCCAGTAAAATGAATATTTCTTGAGAATCAAAACGCGTGTTTCTTTACTTTCTTCGACAGTTTTTAGGTGAAGTGATTATCGTATTGATTTGATACAATCGAAAGATAAAATCGATATGATATTTAAAGCGTCCTTTGA